CACAGCAGAATTTTTTTCTTTAAATTATACATCAGGAAAATATGTCTAAACTGATGTTCTCAAACTTTCTATATGGCTTGCATAAGCTTTTTTTTTTACAGCTACAAATTATGTATATTTAACAAGCAGATTCTAACCATTTTTAGTATAATGACCCTTTTCAATATCAAAATGAAGTGGGTACTTAGAGTTCTTTGAGAAGGTAGAAGGAAAAAAAACTTCCTATTAATTTTATAACTTTTTAATCAATATTTTATTAATCAAAAACATTCATTCTTTGAATATAGTATATATTATAGTAGTAAACATGCACAATCTCATAATTTGGTCCTCATACAATGCCTAATGCACATATAGATCCCAGGCAATTATAATAACATAATTAATCATCCAGTGACACCCTTATATTAACAGGACACCTACAATAGCATCCTTAAATAATCCATCAGAAAAACCAAAATTCTATTTGGAACCACTGATTTTGATGGTACACTTGTTTTATTCATCCATTACTACCAATAATCTATTATTAACTAGCAATTGTGTAAAAGATATTATAATTCATTAGTTTTCATAAGTATTCCATAACATTATTCTCTAAGCTATACTTTTTGGTGATTTGTGTAAGTATTTGAGGAAGTAAATTAAAAAAAAAAAAAAAACTATTAATAGCTCTTTTTATTTCACAATGCTTTATTTACTGTGCCTAATAATTTTTTTTATTGCTCATATTTCACTGTTAAGTTGATGTTCCCAAGTCATTTTCAGCTACATTCAGTGACTTTAGAATGTCCCTAAACCTAGTGAAATTTTGAAACACTATGTATATATATTTCTGTTTTTCACCTATCCATCTATCTGCCTGTTCATCTGTCTGTCCCTCTCATCTACCCATCCATCTATCCATCTGCCATCTTTTCTTTAAAACTGATTTTCAGTAGGAATCAGAACAGATAGATCTGGATTGAAAAAGATGGAGGTAACACTCCCAAGAAAGCGTCCTTTGGCAAAGACAGCTTCAACTCTTATTAAAAAAAAGGCTCTTCAGGCATGAAAATGGTGGATAATTCATTGTTTATTACCCACATGTATTACTAATTTGATAATTTTAGGTGTAATGAAAGTATACAATACTTCTGAGATTAAAAATATATATACCAGGAAAAATATAGAGCACCTAAACACACACACACACACACACACACACACACACCTTTTTGAGCTAAAAGAAACAAGTTACTAAGTTTCAATTTATGCTTACCTGTGATTATTTTATCAAGCACCATCTTTAGATATTTTGAAAAAAACAGATTTGCTGATGGTAACCATCCAGTTTCTATCAACTCAACTCTGATTCATGGCGACTCTATATATATTTTTTTTTTTTTTTTTTTCTGTCAGAGAATTGTGCTCCAAAGGGTTTCAGTGGCTGGTTTTCAGAAGTCGATTCTAGGCCTTTCTTCTGAGCTGTCTCTGGTGGATGTGAGCTTCCAGCTTTTCGATTAGCAGCCAAGCACATTGACCATTTCTGTACCCCCCAGATACTCCATAATAAGTGTATTGCTTTGCTGTAAATACAATAATACAAACATGCCTAATAATTCCTTGAAAAAAATGAGATAGTAAATAACAGGAATGCACAGATTACAACATGAATCTACTTGTAGTATATGACCTGCTGACCTGATAGAATGTATGATCTTCCTATGTTAATAGTAGTGTAGTGTCTATAAAAGGGTGTGGGAAAGGCATAAGACGGCCTCCTTCTTCACTAGGCAGATAGATACTTTGTTCAGTTCTCTGTCCCTCATAGAACTAGAATAATGGATCAATTCAGAGATAGGGAATGGGCTAAAATAACACATCAACACCAAATAAAGAATGATTAAAACTCTGGGATTATAATATATAGTATGTATTGGTAAAGCAAAGGGAAGAAATGACAAGATAAAAGAGCTTGTGGTGGTGAAGTTTGTGTGTCAAATTGGCTTTGCCTGGGTGAGTGGCTCAGCAGCTGAAAGTAGTTATCCCCCATACTGAGATTGGTAATTAACTCCATGGTGGAATCTATTGGAGCAGCTGAGTAGCTACTTTGAGTATGTGGTTTGCTTCCTGTATATAAGAAACAGCTTTTAGAATGGTCTCTACATTATGGCAAGCTTGAACCCTGTATGTGGCCAAGTCGTTGTTCAGAGCCTGCCATGCTCTGCGATCTTGGAACTTTCAATGTATTTGAATTAATGACCTGCAGTGTGGTTTGGTAACATCAAGACTGTGCCTTTTTACTTGTCAGCCTTGGGCTTTTCAGTCTCAGCAGCCAGCAGCTGTGTGAGTGAAGAAAAGCCTATAGCTTCAATGGGCTGGGAGCAGGAGGCAGAGCTGAAGCCCAAGTTTGAAAGGTTTTCACCCAGTCCCTAGAGCCCAGCTTAAAGCCTCCAAACTGTAAGAAAGTAAACTGCTATTTGTTCAAGCCATCCCATTTGTGATATGTACCTGTCAGAGCAGCACTAGGTAACCAAAACAGAGCTGAACAGAAGATTTCAAAGAGCAGCTCAAGAAGCCGAAGTCAGTTATTATTATGGAATGTGCAAAGATGTGGAGTTGGAAAGCCAAAAGGGAAGAACATGCTTGGCAGTTCTCACACTGAAAGAACTGAAGAAAAAGTTTAAGTCTCAAGTTGCAATATTGAAATATTCTATGGGAAATATATTGAATGATGCAGGAAACATCAAAAGAAGATGGAAGGAATACACAGAGTCACTGTACCAAAAAGAATTGCTTGATGTCCATCCATTTCAGGAGGTGGCATATACTCACGAACCAATGGTTTTGAAGGAAGAATTTGAAGCTTAACTGAAGGAAGTGGTGAAAACAAGGTATCAGGAATTGACCGAATACCCATTGAGATGTTTCTACAAATGGATGCCCCACAAATGGAGGCACTCACTTGGCTGTGCCAAGAGATTTGGGAGACAGCTACCTAGCCAACTGACTAGAAAAGATCCATATTTGTACCCATTACAAAGAAAGGTGATCCCAAAGAATGTGGAAATTGTTGAACAGAATCATTAAGATCTCACACAAGTAAAATCTTACTGAACATAATTCAAAAATGGTTGCAGCAGTATATTAACAGAGAACTTCAAGAACGGCAAGCTGGATTCAGAAGAGGATGTGAAACAAGGGATATCATTGTTGATGATAGATGGAGCTTGATTGAAAGAATACCAGAAAGATGTTTACTTGTGTTTTACTGACTATGCAAAAATCATTTGATTCTGTGGATCATAACAAATTATGGATAACATTGAGAAGAATGGGAATTCCAGAACACTTAATTGTACTCATGAGGAACCTGTACATAGACCAGGAGGCTGTTGTTCTAATAGAACTAGGGGACACTGCATGGTTTAAAATCAAGAAAGGAGTGCATCAGGGTTTTACCTTTCACTATACTTATTCAATCTCTATGCTGAAGAAATAACCTAAGAAACTGGACTATATGAAGAAGAACATGGCATCAGGATTGGAGGAAGGCTCATTAACAACCTTTGATATGCTGATGATACAACTTTGTGTGCTGAAAGTGAGGATGACTTGAAGCACTTACTGATGAAGATTGAAGACTATAGTCTGCAATATGGATTACACCTCACTATAAAGAAAACAAAAATCATCACAACTGAACTAATAAGCAGCATCATGATAAGTGGAGAAAAGATTGAAGTTGTCAAAGACTTCACATTGCTTGGTTCTATAATTGACTGCAATGAAAGCAGCAGTTAGGACATCAAATGATGTATATCACTGGGCAAGTCGGCTGCAAAAGACCTCTTTAAAGTGCTGAGGAGCAAAGATGTCTCCTTGAGGACTAAGGTGCACCTGACACAAGCCATCATATTTTCAATTGCCTCATGTCCATGTGAGAGCTGGGCAATGTATAAGGAAGACTGAAGAAGAATTGATGCTTTTGAGTTGTGGTGCTGGTGAAGAGTGCTGTAAGTACCATGGACTACTAAAAGAACTAACAAATCTGTACTGTAAGAAGTGTAGCTGGAATGCTCCTTGGAAGTGAGAATGGCCAGACTTCATCTCACTTACTTTGGTCATGGTGTAAGAAGGGGCCACGCTTGGTAAAGTGGAGGGTCAACGAAAAAGGGGAAGGCCCTCAATGAGATGGATTGACACAGTGGCTGCAACAATGGGCTCAGGTATAGGTGGGGCTGGCACAGGATTGGGCAGTGTTTCATTCTGCTGTACATAGGGTTGCTATGAGTTGGAGAAGGGCCAACAGCACCTAACAACAACAACACATTTAATAACATATTTAGAAGACATAAATGAGCCCTGGTGACACAGTGGTTAAGCACTAGGTTACTAACAGAAGGGTCAACCATTGAAACCCATCAGCCAATCTGAGGGAGAGAGATGTGGCAGGTGGCTTCCATAAAGATTTACAGCCTTGGAAACCCTTAGGGCAGTTCTACTCTGTCCTGTAGAATTACTATAGTTGAAATAAAATTGATGACAATGGACCTGGTTTTGGTTTTTAGAGGACACAGGAGATAACATAGCTATTAGTAAATATTTGAAAGGTCATTATATAGAGAAGTTATTGAACTTATTCTTTGCCTTTTCTGGGTATAAATAGTACCAAGTCAATATGAAGAAATGTCTCTAACAAGTGCAATGAGTTGCCACAAGAGACAAATTGATTCTCTTTTCACAGCCATAATCAATCCCAGGCTGCATTACCACTTGATGAGCTGTGATAGAAGGATAGCAAGGTTTCCATACTTGGTTATCTCTGAAATATTAAAGGAGAAATGAGTCAATCAAGATCAGCTTGCTCTGACTCAACTTGGCATAGCTTTAGATATAGGTATAGAGATATGATTTAACAGTGTTCAATATAATCACTTTTAAATTTCCATCTCAGAACATATTTCAGAATGTCTCATTCAATTCCTGAAAAATTGTGACTTCCTTAATAGCTGTACATTCAAAATTGTGCTAGATTCAGATGCAGCTGAGTATGGAGGACACCAGAGAGTGGACCACAATACCAATTTCTTTTCAGAGCCTTTTGAACATAATGGGCGTCCTTATTCTCTTTTGGTAAGTAAGGTTTATAATATATTTTCATTCAGTTTTAAATTATTCCTTGATGTTTTAAAAGGTGATTTTATATTTGCAGAGATGCCTCCTCAACAAGTAAGTGATGTGTGTGTATGGGGGGAAGGTAAGAAACGGGAACCATTCTAACTTAAGAGACATAATGAATAAATAAGCCAGATACAATGTGTGCTGCTGAAGGATATTAGGTTTTGGAACAACTAAGAGTAAAGAATGTTTGGGGAAAAATGATAGAATTTTAGTATTAGTAGGATTATAACTTATGCAAAAAATTAGTGGAAATACAGTATTTGTTATTTTTAATATGAGCATTTTTATTCTTCATGTACAAACTTTCTTCCCTTCTACTCTGCCCTTGCTTTCTCTGAAATATGTTCTATTTTGCAAGTTTTTACATTATCATCTATGTAATAAAATTTCATTCAAAACACTTTAAAAGAATGATATGAATTTGTATCTTTTTTCTTTCATGTAGCAAATTAAAGACTACACTTATAGTAGATATAAACTTCTTTGCTGTCCTCACACTACTGAGGACAATATTATATTACATAATTAATTTTTATTTTGTTATATCACAAATTATAGAGCATGCTTTAAATCACTTACTTAAAATTCTTTATTGAAAAAAGCAGAATCAAATCTCTAGATCTAAAGAATATGATCACATCCTCATCTACATTTTTATAATCTTTTTTTTTTTAGTTGATCCATAAGTCTCTCTCTTCTTCTTTTTCTATTTTTCATTTGGCCTTGTTTTAACCATGAGAGATCTGGATGAAATGTATTTCACACTCATGAACTCAGAATGTACCTAACAAATACATGACTTTATTATAACTGTTAAACCCTGATTTGGATGAAATCCCTCATTTTTCAAAAAATTAGGTATAAATTAGCTATGAGAATCTGTACAGTACCCATAGTCCCCCCTTTTCTATTGTCATCTCTTAGACTGGCATTAGCACCTCACTTTATAAGCTGCCAGATTGTATACAGGATCAATGTGGCAGACAGTGGAAGAAAATAGATGAAAAAGAGTGGAAGTAAGCAAGATCGAATTATTGCATTGTACACTGTGAGGAAAGTGCAATGGCCATGGGAGACTTCAGTGTACCTTAAGTGTTGTATGTATGTATGAAATGTGTCTATAAAGATGCAACCACAACTTTAGCTACAGATGTAGTATTCTTAAGGTTTAGAGATGTAGCATTCGTAAGAGGAGGACTAGATGCTATCAGATTCTTTCTTTAAAGACGTTGTGTCACTAGAGTTTGTCCCAGCATTCATTGTTGACATGTGCAATAAGATTGATATAAATAAATAAATAAATAAATAAAAGTTTCAGACATGAATAAGAAAATTACATTAATGGGCTGAAAATAACCAACAGAATACCTAGGGATTCCTGAGGAGCTGGGGAAGATAATTCAGCTCACCAAGGAGAATCATGAAGCAGCAGCAGCAATCAGTCACTATAAAGCTGAATTTCAACCAGTGAATTATGCCGAAAGGGATTTGAAAGGCTCAGACAGCCAAACTTTTATGCAGTCAACTTTGTTAAATGTTCATGTATCCAGAAAGGGTTCTGTATGGGAGAAAGGCCTGGTAGTATAGTGAAAAGATCACAAAATGTCATGGTAGAGAAACTGGGATCAAGTGCCCTTTCTATCATGTACTGCCTATGAGAACTTGAGTGAATTACTTAATTTTTTATGCCTCAGTTTCTCTCTTCTGTAAATGTGGTTTAATAATAACATTTACTATCATCTCTACAGCAAGTGATCCTGATAAGGCATAAATTCATTAATCCATGTAAGCTTTCTGGATAATTCCAAATGCTACTGCACATGTACTGTGAAATGATTATTTTCATGGCTATTCAATAATTATTAAGGTATTGTAATTATGTCAAGGGAGATCTGGTGACATAGTGCCTAGGGCATTTGACTGCTAACCAGAAGGATGGTGGTTCAAACCTACCAGCCACTCTCAGAAGGAAAATTGGGCAGTCTACTTCCATAGAGATACCACCTCAGAAACACAAGGATGGGTCACTGTGAGTCTAGATTGACTCAACATAAAGTCCTTTGGAGATATGTACTGAAAGAAGACTTTCTCCCAATTTGAATAAATTACAACCTTAAGTAAGGGCTCACAGTCTATGGGTGTGGACTTAAAATGTTCTTGGGATACTTTTGATTTTGTAAGAGCAAAGATATTCTGTCATAGTTAAAACAAACTAACTAACCAGTGGCAGCAACACAGTTGAAAAACACTTTTCAAACATTAAGTAAATTGATCTGAAAAAAATGTGAAATGTGCAGTTCTGAGTTAGCAGATGGAATGGAGAATATCTCAAGTCTTAGTAAGAGGTAGAGGAATACAGCACCACAAGCCTATGAGAAAGAGAATACCCTGTAATAGGATTCTAACCCTACTCAGTCAATAAGGTGAAGGTTAACACTGTCTTCTCAGTGGAATCAGTTTGTTTTTGATGGCTGCATGTGCTTCAGGAATTATTTGTTTAAATGAGTCTGTAGGCCCTAGATAATATAACTACTGATTTTAATGTCAGAATAAGGAAACACAAAAGGACCCATCAAGTACAGAAAGTCCAAGACAACAGTTTTCCTTCTTGCCAGTGTTATTCTAGAAACAACTAGAGAATAAAATCATATTAAAGGGGGGTAATAAAAACCTAGAATAAGAAAGCCTCATTGTAATGGAGCTCCTTATTAAACAGATTCATTTGTGGTGGGATCCAATCAAGGTCTTGAACATGACCATAAACACTATAGTTCTGATACCACAGCCAGTGAAATCAGTCTTACTTCCCACAGTGATAGCCAAAAGGGGGCAGGTGAGTAACATATAACTTTTTATACTTCCAGGGAGTTTCTGTCCATCATAACTAGTACACATTTGCTAAAGCTTAATTTGCAAGCTCAATAATCCAAAGGATCTGCTGAATAAGTGTCAAATATGTTTTCAAAGATAGCAACAAACAGAGCTCGAAAGAGTCCTAAAATAGCCATACATGCTGCAGCATCAGCTCCACTAGCTGAAACTGTGAAGCCAGGGAATAACTGCATGTGTATTACTGTTGAAATATATTTGCTAAGGTCAGAGTATCTCACAAATGCTAAAAAACGATAGGGCAGAGCTTTTCTATTCTGCTTTACTGGCAGTTATTGGAAATTTAATTTTAGCATAATTTCTCTATATTTTGATTCCTGATATAGGAACTTAGATGTTCACCTCTATGTTAACCTCTATGTTAATCAGTGTACTGGGAGGAGGAGAGTTTTATCTTCTCTGATTCATAAATTCAAATTCCCTGACCAAAACAGAAGAACAGAGATGCTGAGCCTCAAATGAGTTAAACTCTTTTGCCGTAATTCAAGCTGTCTTAATGGTGAAAATGTGAGTAAAGTAATAGCTGTAGCATTAATTAGTCACTTAGACACCTTATCAATAAGAAGTCAGTCTATTTATTTCCCTTCTATATTTGGGACTTCAAAAGTAGATTTCATTCAAATAAAGGATTGGGCAGGTAAAGTAGCATATACTTTGGCTCTCTTAATAATGGAATTGGATTATATTGTGGCAGTCTTGTTCTTTGTGAAGAGTTGGTTATAAACATATAAACTAGATAAATATAAATGTAACTAGATAAGTATAACCGGAGTACCTGGGTGGCACATTTACTGCACAGCTACTAATTGAAAGATTGGAAGTTTGAATCCACCCAAGGTGCCTCAAAAAAGGTCTGATGATCTGTTTCCAAAAGATCACAGCCACAAAAACCCTGTGGAGTTCAGTTCTAGTCAGCAACATATGAAGTTGTCATGACTCGGGATTGACTTGAGGGCAACTGGAAATATAGTTGAATAAGTATAACTGGAAATAATTAATTTCAAAGCCATACATTATATTGTCTCATATGTTAATAATGTGATCTTAGATACATAATGTTTAGGGCTTAAATGAGCATAGTAGATTTATTTATCGGCAGACATTATCTTTGACAGGCATACTAAATAGTTTCTATATGAATGTACTCAAATAAAAAGTGTTTATATTTAAATATACTTAAACATTTATGTTTAAATCTGTTTAAATTATATTTGTTTCTTTTTTCTTGTTTCATAATTCAACCCTATTTTAAAAATTAAAATTATATTTAAAAATTAAAGTTATAAAAGGAGAGTTACACAGACAATGAAATCATACCCATTGCCCTCAAGTCAATTCTGATTCATAGCAACCCTTTAGGACAGGGTGGACCCTTTTAGGACAGAGCTAACAATCTTTATGGAAGCAGACTGCCATGTCTTTCTCCCATGGAGTGCCTAGAGGATTCAAATTGTCAATCTTTCTGTGAGAAACTGAGCACTTAACCACTGTACCACTAGAACGCTTTCATATTAAATTATAAAACCAAAAACCAAACCCAATGCCATCAAGTCAGTTCTAATCTATAGTGCCCCATTGAGTTTCCGAGGTGGTAAATCTTTATGAAGTAGATTCCTCAGTCTTCCTTCTGTGGAGTGGCTGGTGGGTTTGAACCACTAACCTTCTGGTTAGCAGTGCCTTAGGCATTGTGCTACCAAAGCTCCTTATGTTAAATTATAGGGACCCAAAATTGTTCATGTCAGTAATTACATTGTCTTAAGGATTATCTCTGATTGCCTCAAGTCCTTTAGTATAATTGGGAGTCACTTATTAACGACTAAGAAACTGATCTATATACTGAACCATAATGCAGAAGAAAACTCAAAATTTTATAAATAGTCACAGTTAAGAAAAATCACTTGCTTGGGAAAATTATTTTATGTTGCCTACACTGCAAGGGCTCTAGTGCAACAGAAGCACCTTCTGGTAATTGACACTGCAGTGAGAAAATGTAATTATACAATATTCCTGTTAGTTATATTGTAGGATTGTCCATTGAACGTTTTAAACAGATGGTGTTAAGAGGTCTCTAAATGTGGCTGGAATTGGCATCATAAAGCTTTTTACATAAAATGACCATCATCATTTAATAAACTTTGTTGGAGCATGTTTTTTAACTATTAAATGTCAAAGTAGGAAAATCAGTATGTATATTGCCAGCCTTGAATATATTGTTATTTTTATTTAACTCTTAAAGTTGAACCAGCTAAAATTCCAAAAGAGAAAAGCCCAGTATTCACATTAGAAAAGAGAATAAGATCATTTATAAATTATCAGTAGACAGTTCTTATTTACCTTTTATTAATGAAATAATTATGAGGTTGTGAATCAAACAGAATAAATATCAGAACTATATAGGATCCAAAGAGGAGACTCACCTTGACTTGTCCTGATGATACAAGTATGCCACACACTGAGTAGGGTCCGATCCTTATTTGTTGGAGGCGTGCTTTGTATGTTCCTTTCTAATTTTCTCACAAGGCTTAGGCTTACCAGAGTCCAGCCTGCATATAGAAGACTATCTTATTAGAAAAACTTTTTTTGTTTGTTTGTTTTAATGTAAAGGGACCTGGAAATTCTTTAATCCACTTTTTAGTGATAGTGGGACATTTAGATTGGTCTTCAGAAAGATTATTTATGGTAGAAACAATTCAGACTCATTCTGTTTATAACCTGTTGTCCCGTTGATTAATTAAACCAGTTGCTGTGATCCCCAGAAATAAAAACATATAACCATTAATGATTTTTTTCATGGCAACCCTGTGTGTGTTGGAGTAAAACTCAGCTGGACAGGGAGCTGATTTTTTGGAAGTAAATCACCAAGCCTTTAATCTGAGAGGCTCTTCTTTGTGTACACTCAAACCTTCAAAATTTTTGGTTAGAAGTCAGGCATGTTAACCATTTGCATCACCCAGGGACTGGCCTGTTATTGAGAACATGGCAAATTTCTTTGGAAGACAGGTCCTTGTCTCTTGATTCATGCCTGTTTTAATAAGATGAGGGAGGGAATGTATTGGAACTGAGTCTTTGGTTTTTGGTTATTTTTTTTATTTGTCCTTTGCTTTAATCTGTGTTGCTTTGGTCTATAGCTTGATTATAGAAACATGCCACCCCACCTCTTAGACTTTATCTGCCTGCATCAGTGGTAATAGTCCTACTTTGTATTTGTTCATGGACACTTCTAGCTTCTTTTTATTGAACCAATTTCATAACACCTTATATTTCACAGTCAAGAGCATATCAAGTAGATGAGATCCCATTAGCAGTGGAATTTGTATGTGGTTTAAAAATTGTAAGACATTAAAAACATGTAAATTTCAGGAAAACAGATTGTGGCATTCAAGTACATAATTCTCTTACTTTAGAGAAATAGGTACTATATAGTATTATATATCCACTGCTGTCGAGTTGTATCAACTCATGGCAATACCTCCTTTGGTTTCTAAGGCAGTATCACTACGAAAGTAGATTGCTCAACCTTCCTTTCAAGAAGTGGCTGGTAGGTTTGAACCATGAGCCTTCTGGTTAGCAGTCAAATGCTTAGGCACTATGCTACCAGAGCTCCTGTAGTATTATATAGTATATATTATATAAACTAAAACCACACCCACTGCTATCAAGTTGAGTCCAACTCAAACTGACCTTTTAGGACAGAGTAGAATTGTCCTATCAGATTTCCAAGGCTATAAATCTTTACAGAAGCAGACTGCTTCACCTTTCTCCTACAGGGCAGCTGGTAGGTTGAACTACTGACCTTTTGATTAGCAGCCCAGTGTTGTAACAAATGTGCCACCAGAGCATCGTCTTGTATACTCTATAATATTTATCTCTTTGAAACAACTGATTGGCAAATCACACTGTGAAACATTAAGCTACAGAGTGACTGTTAGCATTTGTGGAATTTTTCTCAGATAATGATCATTTCTTAAATCAGTACAACTTTTAGTTGAAAATTAAAAAAAAAAACTAGCTGTTACATTTATAATACAAATTTCTCAAAATTCCACCATTGTAAAACTAGTTTTGATATTCCAAACAAACCAACTGTATTGATGTGCTCTTTTTTTTCCATGTTTTTAAAGACTCCTAATAATTTTTTAATGTAGATACCATAGGGAAATTTCTGTTCATATGCACAGTAGAGCTGTATTGGCCATATAATAGTTTTGTTTAATGAAAAACAACTTTTTTTTTTTTTCTTTTTCTTCTCCTTTATTTTTAAAGCCATGTTTGCATTACACCTTTCATTTCTGAATCTAAATAATAAAAATCCTGTCCCTCCCTTTTTTGACCATTAGTCAAGCTTTCATTTAAAGATAAAGTGCCTAAACATAATAAAATATTAAAGTCAAAAGTAGAGATACATTATTGCAATGATAATAACCATCTATATATGATATTTACTCTGTTACTAATGGTTAAATATGTTATATTTAAAATAGATAAGCATCGAGAAATTCAAATCACATCTCAATTTTATAAGTTATTCAAATTTAAGTATATTAGAGAATTTCTTGTGAAATTGCACGTTTCTCCCGCTCATATTCATTCCTTTATTCACTGATCCTTCTTTCATTTGTTGTTATTGTGTGCCATTGAGTCAGATCTGACTCATAACGACCCTTCCTTGGGTTTCCAAGGCAGTATCACTACAGAAGTAGATTGCCCAACCTTTCTTTCATTTATTTAGTCCTTTATAACACCTAATGTGTCCGAATGCATGGCCTCTGCTATCATAATGGTTATATTCTAATTGGGAAGACTTGAAAAGTAAACTTGAAAAAAAGTCACAAACTGTGTCATGTGACATACAGACAAAAAGGGTACCATAATAGAAAGCAAATCTGAGAACCTGCTATATCTAGAGTGGTCAAGGGAAACCCATCCATGAAAGTAGTATATCTCAAGATCTAAGAGATAAGGGACCAACAAGGTAAGGATTGCTCTGGACAGATGGAACAGCATGGCAAAGACACTCAGAGAAAGGGAGTAGTTTGATGTGTTCAAAGAGCAGAAAGGCCTCTGTGGCTGGAGTCTATTCAATGAGGGTAGAAAAGATGGGAAATGCAATGAGCTGAGTTGACAGAGTAGGCAAAATAAAGATAAGGCAGGGCCATGTTTATTTTATTTTAATTGCAATATCAGGCTTAGAGGTTGCTTTAAATTAGATCGGGGTCTAAAATACACTTAGGATCCCTCAT